TTATCTGCGAAAACTTTTGTTAACGCACTTTCGATTCTCAGAAATTGAAAAGAAAAAGCTACGAAAAGCTTTATTTTTTTTAGCTCAGCTATTTGCTTACCTTGCATAAGTTCAAACTCTTTAGTTTTTTTTATATTTGCTCCATTTTTCGAAATCGCATGAGACTGCTGAGATTATTTGTTTTTATGATTTGCCTAAATCTATGATTCACATAAATATTTTATATCATTGATGTATAATTAAAGAGAAAGCAATCCCTTATATTACTCGGCTGAATTATCTATTTTGCTGTCTATCAGTTGTATTTTCAAATTTTTCAGGGGATAAATTTTTTTTTTGATCCGATGAAAATAACAATAATTAACATTAATCGTCGCCTTCTTTAAAAATAATATTGGCCTGGCCTGGAATAAGAACTAAGCTTTTAAGATTTCTCCCAGCAAGTACAATTGCGTTTTGTTCATTTCGTAGAGAAATTATTTAAAAATTTATTTTAATGTTATTCTTTAACTATTTTAACTATAATTTTTTGACTATGAAGTTAAATAATTGCTTAATTCGCCTATGTACCAAAACTATCAAAATTTTAGCTGACTCTAACGATTAATACTGCAGCAAAAAACAGTAAACCAATAATACGATCATTTGTGGCTTAGGCTTGCGTCCAGCAACTTTTGCAATATCATTTAAGGAATAGAAGGAATCTCCAGCATTCCACCACCATTCGACTTTCTGATCACTTTCATTTCCTTCTTAATGCAAAAATTTCTATATAATACATTGTGAAATTCGCAATTATGATTTATCTTTGGATCCTTTCGAAAGAAATGATCTTTAAAGAAATTTTTAAAGATATATCCCATAACATCTGTCGTTCTTCTTAAGCTTCAAGCTTCAATAACATCAGAAAAGGATTAATTATAGTGGCGAGACCCATAGTAAACAAGAAGTCATCATCTTAACTTTAATATTACAACGAAGAAAGATTTATATTAATATAATAAGTGATTTTTCTCATATTTTAATCATAATTCGATAAAAATAATCGAAGAAAATAAACATGCAACGATGCTAGTAAATTTTGCATGATTTGATTCTGAGAAATTTCAATGAAAAATGCGTTTTTAGCATAGCGCCAATTTAAAGCATAAATAAGTGATAAGCTGCTCGAGACTTTAATTATCATAGTTATCTTCGAAGACTCATTCGTATGTCCCTTTAGAGAATTATTTGAATAAAATCTTTTTTTATAGATAAATAAAAGTTTTTTTCTGATTTGTTAGAGAAAAAATTGATGGCTATTAGTTGAAAAAAGTGGATAAGCAAAGAGAAAATGAAAAATTTTAATGATGCACAACGAATGTCTAAAAATTTATATAAGCTAACCGCAAAAATCTTAATTCTAATTTTATTTAATTAAAAAAATTTAATTTTGCTTATAAATTTATTGCACTTTTTAAATTTTATTTTATATACTTTAATTTTTTGCACATTTTATTATATTTTCCGCAGAGAAGTTTTAGCAGTTTTGCTTCTTTTCATTTGCTTTTTTAAATTTTCCTTTGCTAATTTTCCTTGCTGTAAAATTAGCGACAAGAATTATTGCAATCATTTTCAAAGAGAATTATTAATTGCAATTAGCCAGTTATTGCATTTTCCTTTCAAGGATTTGTCTAAGAATTTTCACCCATTTTACAAATAGAAGCCAATTAATTATTCATTTATTTTCTCAAATGCTCATATAACATGGGAATAAGCCCTTTTCAATTTTAATTAAAAATTTCACCCAATAACCTCAAATTTAACTCTAAGTGATTTGCTGAGGTATTGAACTACTTGTCACAGGAATAATGCTTAAGTTCCCTCCACTTTCTGTGGATGGATGGTCATTGCCATCACATGGCTTATTTTCCTTTCAACATTCCCAATTTCTGTGTGCTTCTGCATAAAAGTTAGTTGCAAGTGTTAGGAGTTTTGCCTTTTATTATTTGTCTTGCAAGTTATTTTCAATTTTGTGTTGCTATAAATATAAAATGATTAAATAACAAATAAGGCATTCTTGGGCTACGATCAATTTCAACTCAAGCATGCCTATTGATTTAACACCACGAAGCGTCGTATCCTTTGCCAATTCACTATGATATATCGCCGAATAATAAAAGAAAGTGGTGATATTTTCGCTGATTATTGCCATCACATGGCTTATTTTGCTAAACATGGCAAAACGTTTATTCACGAATCTTCATGCAAATAAATCACTTTCAGCTGATACTTACGACACTGGAGTTGGTTTCTGTGGATGGATGATCATTGCTATCACATGGCTTATTTTCCTTTCAACATTCCCGATTTCTGTTTGCTTCTGCATAAAAGTTAGAATTTTTTTTTAGAATTTTCTGCAATATTTTCCATTTCGATATTTAAATTGTTTTATGATTTCTTAAAATAATCTTTACAGTTATTTGTGGTCATTTATAGCTATTGCACTATTAAGTAAACTTCATTCTTACTATCATTAGAAATATTATCAGATTATTTTTCAAATATATTTTGTAATGCTCTTTTATAGTGCTTAAATAGTGGAATAAATAGTGGAATTGCAAAATAAAACTTAGACGACAATTGTCCCACTGGAGTATTTACGCAACTGTTCAACTATAAATCATTGATAGTCGAATTTATTTCCGCTAAAATTTGTTTTATTAGATATAGTAAAGAGGTTGAGAAACTGGGAATGATTTTGAACCAATAAAAAGAAATAAGGCGAAAACCACGAACAATCAGAAAATCTAATAAATTATTTGCTAATCCAATAATTCGTAAAGTATTTCGTTATTTATTTTTTTTTATTTAAGATAATTATTTAATATAATTATTTATTATTATTTACAGCAATGTTTGAATTGAAAAAAAATTTTATCAGGTTTTAAAATATCAGATTTTCTTAAAATTTTTTGCGACAAAAGTTTAGCAAGAACTTGTTGATAAAAATTAAATATCATGAATTAGATTAGATTAGTTTATAAATCCGAAAAATTTTTGCAAACATTTAGGATTTTTAAAATTAGATGATTGCCATTACTGGCTGCTAAATTATTCGTTTTGCCACTGCAGTCTGTACATTCTTCCTCAATATCTAAGGTAATCGCCGTCAGTTCCATGGGAGACCTATGGAATATTATTATCAGAATACTAAAATGCTTTTTAACTACAATTAGTTCGGATTGACAGTCGAATTTATTTTTTATTTTTTTTTGAAGAGCCCTCAACATTGTTGCGCTGAGTCACTTGGGTAAAGGTGAGTCGCCGCATCACCCGGATTTTTGGATAGGCTTACTCCTTCAGGGAATAGAACCTCAGCATCGGCACTCAGAATTGAGCAACAACCCACTGAGCCATTTTATCCCAAAGTCGAATTTATTGAATAAAATTAACTAAAATTTTTAACACTCCTCTCCTCCAATTTTTATGCTTATATTTTCTCAAATCTTTTTTTACACTTGGACATCGCCAGTGGCATCATAAAATCTAAACTGCAAAATGCTACATATAATTTCCAATTTCCGATTTTATCAGTTTAAATTAATGAAATTATTGGCTTGCGCATATTTTTATTTTAAAAAACGGGTTAATGTATTCAAACTGACCATTTCATTGAAGAATATATATTAGAAGAATGTTTATATTCAGCCAAGAATTCAAAATTTATGAGATTATCATCAGATTATCAAAGAAAAGAATTGGATTAATGAGATGAATAAAGAGAGGATTACAAACTTTTTCATACCATTTTCGTATTTAAAATCTTTGCAGATTGTTCAAGAATATGAAAGAGCCGTTATATTTCGATTAGGTAGGCTAATAGGCGGTGGAGCCAAGGGGCCTGGTTTGTTTTCATCTATCTTTGCTTCTTATTTTTCTTTTTAAGAGCGCTCACCATTTTTGGTTAGGTTCGCTTCATTGCTTTTATCGGATCAGGCAAGTTTTACCAGAAATCAGCTGTATCAGCTTGCCCGTAAGTATAGTTGTAAGTACAAATAAGGTTCAAATCTCTATCGAAATCTCTATCTCTAACTTCTAAGACACTTTAAATTGTGAAATTTTAATTTTTATTCTATTTTAGCGTTAAAATTTTTTATATTGGTTTTAAAATAATTTTCTGTAAATTTTGCATAAATTATCAGTTTTTTTAAGTTTTTTTATTGAAATATTCCAAAATTGCAGGCATATTTTTCATTTTGCCTTGCATTGAATCGTATACTAAAGTGGATCTGCGAACTGTATCTTTCAATGTTCCACCTCAAGAGGTAAAGAATATTGTCGTTAGCACTTCCGTATCTGCATTATATGATCGATATGGATTTAATTAATTTACAAATAAATAATCAGCACTAATTTGGGCACTTAAAGAAAGTTTTCCGTTTTCCATTTTACTGATGAAATATCCATGAAATCATGGCGAAATCACCATCAGCGCGAAGGTTCACCTAGCTGCAGTCCGTACCATCTTATTACATCCTCGCGAAGCAGATAAAATTAGTTGATCCACCTTTGCTCAAAGACCATCTGCATTCTCAGTATCGCCACAGGGCGTTGCCTATGCTGGTTAGGCCATGTTCTTCGCCGTCCATCGCATGAATGGACATATACATCGCTAACTGCTAAACCTGATCGATAGCTTCAAAGGTTGGGAAGCTCAATCAAGATCTGGACTGAAACAATCAGAAAAGATTTAAACTTGTAGGGGATCCAGACTGAAAAAAGAGTGGCTTTCTTTAATCTCATGAGTAACGTCAAATCGAGCGGCTTATAAGTGCTGTGCTGTTATAGCCAGCAGAACCAGCCTAACCATTAATCCACATTGCGAACTGTTTGAAGAAGATACTTTTATTTTCTCTTTTTCAGTTCACATTTCTTTTTTTTTCATTTTAAGCACTTTTTATGCATTTCGGATTAGTGACTAAGTTATTTAAAAAAATATTGAGGAGAAATTTGTGATGAGCCATCGCAAATATTTATGATTATAGATCCTAACGAAGGATTCAGTAACGGTATCAGTGGATGCAGTCGTTTATTATCGTATTTGCAATGCAACCGTATCTGTGGCCAATGTTGAGAATGCGCATCATTCAACGAGGCTTCTCGCTCAAACCACTTTACGAAATATGCTTGGAATCAAAAATTTGGCTGAAATTCTATCAGATCGCGATGCAATTGCCATGTCTATGCAGGTTGAAACTTTGAGCAAATTTTGATTATATTTTTGTTCCAGCAGCTCTCAAATGAGTTGCTGTCTAATCTGGCGTTGGCTTTTCGTTGGATATCATTTCGAACAATATCTTTTCCTCATTCGAATAAAATGGAAAAATAGTGAAATGACAACTACTATTATTCTAAAAAATGGGATTTTTTTCCTAACATTTATATGAAAAATTTTTTTTTTTGCATAAATGTCTATTTAAAGACAAAAGAAAAATAGTATATTTTAAGAATAGAAATTTGAAAAAATTGTTTATTTAAATATTTCTTATTTCGAAATAAGAAAGCTTTCAAAAGAATTTAAATTGCTTTTGAGTATCCCATCTTAATTATTCTTTCAATTAGAATAATAACGATGAAAATCCTGAAAACTTTTGAATGAATATGTAAATTTGGATTTGATTATTTGCTTGCCCACTTATCGCCTTATTGTTCGCATTAATTATCACATATTTCCAAATTTTCCAAAATATATTTATATTTAACTCCATTTTTATATAATCCACTATATTTAAATATATTAGTATATATATATTTAAATAATTAACAATTTTATTTCATATCAACACTTCAGAAGTGGGCTGTTAGTACTGCTCGGATTTCTTAATGGCAGATTTATTCCTGCCAGAGATAGCCGGAAAAAATATTTAAATATTTTTAATTTTTAAATCCTAGCATTGCATCGCAGTACCATAATATTTAACCGAATAATCTGTTGGTTTTTTTAAAACCATTTTATACTTTGTTGACTATTGGCGATAAATCAGATACGGACACATTATTAGATAAAAAATTCTCGTTTATCTTGAAATTCTCTAAATGAATTAAACCATAGCCTTGTTTATTTTGAAAAGCTTATACCTCCAAATCGTAGTCTGATTAATCTTCTATTCTTGAAGTGTGCCAGAAAAATATGAAAAACTAAATTGACGGTACAATATACAGGCAAATCATATATGCCCACTGCCTGTAGCACTTCCAGGGAGCTTAAGATGGAAATTCATAATATTAAAATTTACAGACATTATTGGACGATGCGACTGAAAGTTGGGGGATTAAAGTCGAGCGAGTTGAAATGTATCTATCTCTCATATTTTTTTCCATTTTATTATTTTTTATATCTTTTTATTTGTTTATTTTCTTGTTTTTTATTTTCTTATCTACTTTTTTTCAAATCAAAAAATTTTTGATTTTTTTCCAAAAAAAATTTTATAAATAAGTGATTTGTGAGAAGTGACTTTGATGGATTTTATCAACTTCTTACTCTTTTAATATTGAAATTTTAAAAGCTATTAATAATTGGACTTAATCAGTAAACCCAGTAATCAGCAAAAATTTGCAGAAAAGACGTTCGACTTCCTGTGCAGTTACAAAGAGCCATGGCTGCTGAAGCCGAAGCAACACGTGAAGCTCGAGCTAAGGTTCTCCCTTACACCTTTTAAATTCCGACAAACGATTAGAAATTTTTCCATTCTTCTTACCATTCACCCAATCCCAATCGTTTGAAAAATTTTAAGATTACTCGATCTAAAAGATCTTTTAACTGACTGAATAAATTTCCCTAAAATTTTGGAAACTGAATAATAAAAAGGTAGGAATAATTGCAGGTAATTGCTGCTGAAGGTGAACAAAAAGCGTCGAGGTCTCTTCAAGAAGCCGCTATAATTATTTCAGAATCACCAGCTGCCCTACAGTTGCGTTATTTACAAACACTAAGTAGTGTTGCGTAAGTATTTTATCTTAAAATATCGGTCATCACAAAATCATCTCAAATCTGACTTCCTGGAATTACTCATTATAATGAAAAATATTCAGTACAAATCCATATTTTTAAGCTTATTTTTTTCTATTAACCTGCTATATAATTTCACTAATCCCAAAATAATTTTTTGCTATTCTAATTTGCCTTTAAAATTCATTGAAAATGACTAAATAACTTTAGCAATGAAAAAGTACGAATAATTTCAGGGCAGAAAAAAATTCGACAGTGATATTTCCATTACCAGTTGAACTTATAAGACATTTCATTCGATAATCTATTTACTTTTCTAAATTGTACATTGTTTTGCGTCTCCATTTGGTACTTCTCGAGCAAATAGTTTATAAAAAAACAAGCACCGATTAAAATTATCAATTTGTAATTTATTAATGCTTTTAAGAATGGAGGCAAAAAATAAGGACCAGCAAAAATAAAGACGATATTTTTTCATTATTTAATTTTTTTATGTCATGTTCTATCATTCGTTTTATCATTGAATGACTGAAGAATGTATTATTATTAAGAAAGTATACTCAAGAATGTATCATTGAATGTATAAGAGTATGTATTATCTTATCATTTTATTTTTTTTTCCACGACTTTAGTGTAATGGCAGGATTCTTCAATTTAGGATAATCTCCATCTTATTTTTTATCTTGGAAAGAATATGCCATAATATGAACATACCTTTCCCCCACCACTAAAAATAGTGGTAAATAGAATGTTAAAATATTAATTGAATTGAATAAATAACTCAACCTCAAAATATGTAATAAAAATTGTTGGAAAAATTTGGTTTCAAAAAAAAATCAAAAAAAAATGTTGAACACATGGATATATAAATGCTTCTTATATTCCATATTTCATTTCCATGTTTAAGAGTACAAACTAGTTAACTTAGGACAAGGCAAGCAATATAGATTATCAGAAAAAAGACAAAATAGAAAGACAAACTCAGTTCAAAGTCTGGGAATTCCTTCCAGTTTTCTTCAAAGGATCATCGAAATTTTAAATTTATTTTGACGAAAAAATGAAAAAATAGAAAATTATTTTCTTATGGTGACAACATGTTGTAAAGACTGATTAACTTTGTCCCCAAAATGTGAATTGTATAATTCCATACATGGTTAAAAAAGTTTTACCGTACTAAATATTTGCTGGTCCAATCAGATTCACGCTTTATCTGTTCTTTTTCTTCAAGACTTAAATCATCATGTAAGTTCAGATAATTTCTTATTTCATCAACCTGAAATTAAATATATTTCGTCGTTAAAAGATGGTGTTTCTATCCTTTTTATTTATTTTATTATTACTTCAATTTAAAGACTCGTACCTCCATTTTTTGTAACTTTTCGGCAATAAACAGTGATGCAGACCAAATGAATCGAGAAATTCCCAAATAATTAGCTGCATTCATCATTAAAAAAAGCTTGTTACGTCCCACTGTTTCAAACATTTTGCGTTCCCATATATAAAAAAGGTATTAAGAAATGGTATTTAATAACAATTTTTATATGTAAATCTTATCCTGTAAATTGAAGGTAATAATTCCTTATAATAAAATCTGCCAATATTAGGCATTATATACTATGGGACCAAAAATACCATTTAATAACTTCACAGATTTCATCGATATCTAATCTTAGTGGAAAAAAACCCAATGAAAATTAGCTAACTGGGGCATTAATAGGCTGAGTTGTCTCTAAAATCAGTAATTCTACGTTACCTTAGAAGTTTTCCGTCAATACATAAAAATAAAATAAATTACAACGCCTATAACAGTTATTGAAATAAAACTTGTCTTAATGAAATCAACGGTTTCAGTGGTTTGCATTGGTTTTTATAAATTCTCGAATAACGAAAAAAGTTGGGAATCACTGTGATCCGCCTTATAATGAATTTTAAGAATTTGGTATAAATAAATGAAAAAATCTCAAACCTTTACATCATCATTTTGGAAGTCGACACCTTTAGATTTCTCAAAACAAATCATCCATGAAACGAGTCTTTCCAACGTTTCATAATCCACTATATATAACGGAATTGGTAAATTGCCATCATAAGAGACATTTTCTATTAATTCTTTTATTGTTTCCGATAGCACTAAGGATGATTTCGGCAAATTTACTAATCGACCATCAGTTGCCTGCAGTTTTATGCAATCTTCTCCACTTTCCATCATTCCTGCAAAAATAAAAATAAAAAATAATTAAAATATGCAAGAATATGCAAGAAAACAGTCAATGCAAATGAAAACGATTAAAAAATAAATAAATATATAAAAAATGTTTCTATAATTCTAATTTCGGCATATTTTAATTATTTATATGTCAAGGCTTAAATATAATATTGCTAGAAATTAAATTGAAAGTTGAAATCTAAAGAATATTTAAAAAAATAAAACAAAATTTGAAAAGAGAATAAAATATAGAACAAAGACTGAAAAGGAAAAGAAAAGAAAATTGAAAAAACCTACAAGAAATTAAAGCATAAAAACAAGAAATAAAAACTGAAATGAAAAAATGAAAATGAAAAAACTGAAATGGAAAAATAAAAAAACAAAATCAACGATGAACCTTTTATAATTTTATTTTTCATACTTAATAAAAACGAATTTAAAACGATTTACGCTTAATTGATAATAAACCTTACAGTCATATAACTTTGCAATATTTGCAGCAATTTTTATAAATAAAACTGAACTACATTGCATAATTAACTTTACATGTTATATGTAAATTAATATAGGATTAATGCATTTATTAAATAAAACATCAAAAATCAGCAAATTACGGCAATTAAAAGACTGAATATACAACACTCATTTACGCTTTCTTCATTTGAAAGAAGAGATGACCAAATGGTTGTTTCGATCTGCGCAGAGCACAAGAGGTACAAATCGTGATGCACACAAGAACAAAGCCCTATTAAGTTAGCGACCGACCCATCTCTACTTCCATCGCCAAATAAATCCCTACTGGGCAAACGACGGACCCACAAGTAACTCTTTCGCCAAGTAACTCTGACACGGACTATGTCCGATCAGCCGACCGACTAGCGAAAACAACCGAACCAAGAAGAACCCGCAAATTTCTGGGTTGAGTCAAATTTGAGTTGATTCAAATTTTTGGCTCCTTTGCTTTTCGCTTTAAGAGTGCACCATCCAAGAAATTCCTAAGTAAGAGCACAAAATTAACAGAAAAAACCTGAGCGCGAGATATCAATTCAATCCAATGCGAATTGAGCACTTTGGAAAGCACATATTTAGTGGTACCGAGATGGTACTCTCAAAAAGCCTATTCCTAAGCCTATTCACATATAAATTCGAATCTTTTTTTCCTTTCATATAATTAATTCATAACTGAATTCGAGTACAGCGTTGGTTCGGTGACAGTGGACAATGAGGTGAAGGAGTGTTGGCTGACGCAAGACGTAAGTGAAGATGCTGCGTGTCCTTCTCACCTTGCCTCATCCTGGCAATTCCCAGACAACGGATTGGCCTTATCAGCGTTTCAAAAACTGTTAGTGATTTGAGGTTTTAGTGGTGCTTCGATAAAAGATAAGAAAAAATCACTTTAATAAGTGAGAAAATCGAACGAAAAATATGCAAATGTTCCTAGGGAAAAGCTTTTCGAGATGAAATGATCGATACGTTGACGGCTTGGAGGTTTGCAAATTTCGCGTTGTATTTTATAGATTTCATTATGGGAAACGTTCTTTCTTCATTTGGCTTCAATCAGCCATTTTTCATTGCACTTGCTGGGTAACTTTTTAAAGAAGTTTTCGGTAAAGGAATAATAAATTTTATTTTTAAATTGCCTTTTCTTTCCAGAAAACTACCGGTCGAAGAAATCCAACAAAAAATTTCTTAGATTTCTGAACACCTTTAAATGAATAAAGATCACCATTTCTGCTTGTCCCCGTTGGCAAAGTGTAGGTAAATCGCCTGCACTATCAGTTTTCTGGGTAACTTTCTGGATTCCATTGGGTATTTTCATTTGAATAACGATTAAACTGAATTATCCACCGATTTTCTCAGTGTCTTCAATTTTCTTCTGAACTATATCGCTTAATAGTCGCTTTTACTTAAGGTTACTTACGTTTTACTTGAGGTTCTTAACTTTCAATCATTATATACGCTTAAGTTGCTGAATTTATTACTTAGATTATTTTTTAGTTTATGAAATTGAAACGTAATCTATTCAATGGTGTATCAGTTAATGGGCGCATAAAAATTATATAACCAAGGAAGACCCAATAGGAAAATGAATTTTGTCTTTTCGCTTTAGGTTAGTTTGAATATTCGCCTGATATGATTTCAGATTTTGTCTTCGACTATTAGAATGGTGCCAGTTCATCGGAATGCGGTGACAAAAATATAAGTATAATATAAGTTTAGAGATAAGTTTAGAAATGCTGGGCCACAACACCACTCCGATTATATTTTGACCATTTCATAATGATTCGTAATATTTTCCAAATATAGAGAATAAATGATGCGAAAAATTCATTTGGCTCAAAAAATGGAAACAAGGATGGGTAATTAATCGTAATATCTTTAAAGTGTGAAAAAACTTTCATATGAGTTGGTGAAAATTTAACAGCAAATGGCACCTTAAAATTTTAGCATTTTATTTTTTAAGTGATGAATATTAATCCAATTTATGAAGGAAGTCATTGAAGCCATATCAAATTTCAAAGGTGTCAGGTGCTTCTCATTACAATCTTCTCACGAAAATTTTTATTCATCCTTTATGAACAAAATCTTCAAAAATTTCGATATTTCGAATTTCTGCTTTACCAAAAAATTTTCAACCCATATTGAAAATATTGAAAAACAAATGGGAAATAGGCTTGAATTAAAAGCAGTGGTGAATAAATCAGATGGGTTTTATGAGTAAATATTTTAGGATCGAGGGATTTAAAAAAAATTACCCTGTTAAACCAACAGAATTTTAATTTGGATCAAAATACTTAGTGGCAAGATTATTTTCGCCAAGAATCGAGAATAGTTCTCGTTCGAATTAGGCTGGCCCTCCCGATCAAGCGGCGATGTCGTCGAATGACCAAAAGAAAAGAAAGGCAAAATGGCAGAATTTGGAGCACATGCTCAGATTTTGTGCTCATTAGGAGTAAACCTGTCGTTTAAAATCCGAGTGGTGCCGGAGTCACTCATACTTTTATCTGGTGAAGCAAAATTTTTCTGATCCAAAAAGCCAACGAAATAGGCCTTAGCAGCAATGGTGAATGCTGGTGAAAAAAAAGAAATAATATTGGAAAAATTATTAAAATTAAAAGAACATTAATCATAAAATGGTAAACTTTAGAATAGTGTTAATGCTTTCTCTAACAATGGCATTGGTCGGAGATGATCGAACTTCACAAGATAACGATCGTCAGACAATTAAAACCGTTAGTTTTCCTGAATTTTCCTTATTTACTGTAAAGACTATTTATTTAATTTCGCAGTACTAAACTTTTGTAACAAAAGTTTTTTTCCAATACCATTCATGATTTTTTGATTCTTGATTATACCAAATAAATGATAATGTTATGCTAAATCAATTACTTATTATTATTTAACCGGGTTAGGAAACTTGAATAAACTGGCTAAAATTTAGTAAAGCCTGGGTCAGTGGACAAGTGTGGTGAATATAAATGTTTGTATGTGTGATAAGTGTTAGTATCAGCGCTCAACATTTCTGGTTAGATTTGCTTTGCTGTCTGTAAGTTAATAAGATTAGAAATTTCACTTAGAGATTTTTGCTAGAACTATAAGTGGTTCTATACCACTCAGATTTTTTAATGATTTGCGGCTATCAGTGGTAGGAGCTTTTTCCTCTCAATATGGTAGCCTGAGTTACTTTCCGCTCGGCTATGGTGCGATATGTATGTATGTGGGTGCAAATACATATTCGGAAAAAAAATTCTTTCTCCAAAATCTTTCGTATTTTGTGAGAATTCTCCCCGTTCACCCTTTAATGCTTTTTTATCGCTCCCTGTTGTTCCTAATTATTATTTAATTTATTCTTAGTTATTAGTAGTTTCTCCATTAAAAAAATGGAAAAAATGGAATAAAGATTGCTCTTTGACCAGGTTGAATTTTATTTTTACAATAAATATTATATTTTAGCCAAATGTGAAAGTTCATAAGCCATTAAATTCTACTATTCACAAAATACGAATGATGAAGTGCAATGGTGATAATGATCAGATATGAAATTATTGAAATTTTGAAATTTTCTGTCATATATTCAATTTTAAATCTCCTCATTCAGTCAGTCTAAACTGCTCATTATTTTCAAATTTTTCAAATTTTCTTTAAAACCACGAATTAGAATATGGAATACTTTAATCTGAAATTTTGAATTTATTTTCACGTATTATTTCGACATAACTGATAATTGATAACTGATTTGTTCCCATAATTTTCCATAGTTCAGTCATCCTTTTTGAATGCTTTGAATTATGCAGATTTTTTATAAGAATCTGAAAGAATTTAAAATTATGTCCTTCAGCCTTTTGAGTAATTTAAATGTTCCTTTATAGTCATTGCTAGGAATTCTTTCTCAAAAAAAATTCTTTTTTAATGCTGATTCTTTATAGCGAATTGTGCATTTCCAAATTTATAAGAATTTGTGGCATATAATTGCTCTAAACGAAAGCAATAAATCTCCATGTTCCACTAAATACCTAATAAAATTAATTCACAATAGTGGCGACCAATTACGATGACGAATGCAATGGAAATAAAATTTAATTTAATAAAATTTAATATTTCATTTTTCTATTAAATTTAAATATTGTTCGTTGTATATCCGTAAATAGCAAGAAAACTATCCTGAATGCTAATTGCTTTATCATATTATCTCTAATGATTACGATCCTAGAAATTTGAATAGTTTGCGTTAAATTACAAAGAATTTTTTAAAATTTTGAATATATCAATATTAAATATCAGCATAAAAAAATTTTTTTGATTGTGATGTTGTCTTTGCTACACTATTGCCGGTTTTAAAAAATCGTTGTTTATTTTTGAGAAAAACAGAAGGTTTTTTGTCAAACTTCATTCCCCTCCTCCAAATCGAACTGTTTTTTTTCCTCTCAAACATAATAAAAATATTGAAATAAAACTTATATAAATATCCGTAGATTTGCTTATATACTTATATATTTTTTTTA